TAAAAAGTAAGGACTAGTTTATCCCAGTAATAACAAGAAAGAAATAACACCTTCTGACATTACCAAAGTAATTAAATAAAATCAAAGCATATTGAGAAAGATAGCTTATTTAAACAATACAACCCTGGATTCTGTTTCTAAAATGACATAGGTGTAATCAAAATGAATAGATAAAATCTAAATAGGTTTTAAAATCAATAGAACTTGAGGATAAAATTAAAGATAATAATATGTATTTAGAAGATCAATTTGAAGAATCTAATAGTAAAAATCAAAGAACAGTATTAATAAAGATGTTAAAAATAAAAGCCCAATATAATTAACCAATAGCTTTAATATTTACTAATTGACTAGTTTCTTATTTTCATCTTTGATTCCAGAGAAAATATTTATTTAAATACTCTACTACCCTACTAAAAGAATCATAAACCACTTAGAATTACTGTGGTGATATTTATAATATCTCTTTATTTCATAATACTAGGTTCAATGAATATTATGCATCATGATCATGTTACTAATCATAAAATGTGATCAGATATAAACAATAGAATTAAATAAATAGAGGTTTGATCTTGCAGATCAAATCTATACTTCGATTTCTTGAGTAATAAATCTGTGCCTAGTAATAATAATTTAGTACCTTGAGTATAAAGGGTCATGAGAAGTTATTATTGAGAAGAGGACAGTGTTTGAGGAAAAAATATAGTAGTGTATAAAGCGAGTGCAAAACTAGATGAACCATTAAGCAAAATTAAGTATATAACTATATATATTTATTAACCACATGATAATTACTAAATAAAAAATTTTCTAACCCCAGTATCTAATTTCGCAGAAGCTCAATCCCAAGAAGAGATATATATAATGAATTAAGTTTTATTTTACTATATTATTATAAATAATTTCTTTATTTTCTCAGTAAATTATTTAAATATACATAGTTAATTAGTGATTTTCTATTCATTCTGATAACAATACTCAATTTTAGTATATTATTTCTTTGATTATTTTATAACTTATACTAAAATAGTAATAATAATAAGTGGTTTAATATCTTAGTTGCATAAAAATCAAATAAATTATATAAATACTACATCTATGTGATTACACAAAAATTGTACCTTATAACTTTCTGTATATATATTATTTTATGGTTATACATCTAAATTTCTATATCTATATTATATTTTTGGTGTAAACACTACAATTATAGTATTTACATTACTAGAAATTAAAATGTATATAAAGCCTATGAATTCAATAAATGAAAAGACAGTAATTACATTTATAGTTGGAGTTAGTACATGTCTACTTTCAATTACCATTAAATAATAAAATATATATTTATCAGAATTTTTCTTTGAAACTTTGTCTTTGAATTTGATTTGTAACTTTAATAAACCCTTTTGAGACTCAATTTGACAGACTGAATTGACTTGTAACTTCGATTTGGCTTATTAAGACTTAGATTCTGGAACAATTATATAATCAGATATGCTATTCATATTAGTGATCTGTGAAAATTGTAGTAAAAAATGATACTTATGATTAGTTATTTGACCTTGCTAATCACTTATGTGAACTTAAAGTTATCACTAACATCACTTGATTATCATCTGCTTTTACTTTACTATTCATATTAAGATATTTCTAATAGTATTATCTGTAGTTGCATCACCCTATTATCACCTCCCTTAATATTAAATTCTTCATTTCATAATATCATATTGTCTAATAGACCTCTAGCAGTATAAATGATACTTTTCATTACTTCAAGTTTATTATTATCTTCTGTACACTGTTGAAGTTAAATTGGCCCTTCATTCTATATAATTTTTTTAAACTCTCTTATTAACAGTTACATTAGATTCAATTGGTTACTTTGTACTACTTACATCAGGAAAGTTATATATATAGATATATATCGATTACTAACCAACCAGATATATAGTGATAGTAATCACCCTGCCGGGTTTCATCAATTTCGATTATAATCGCTATATAACCAATTAATATACACATCGATTAATATTGCATTCGATATTAATCGATATATAGCTGATATAAGCAGTTAACGTCGAATTAAAATAATATCATATC